AATATAAAATATTATTTTTTTAAAAATAAGCTCTATTAGTTTTGACTCTTTGGGGAACCCACTTAGACAGGGAGGCTTGTTACACAGCTGTAGCTGATACACACAGGATGTCTGAGGGGTACGTGGGCCAGGAACTTCCCATTATTTTTTTAAATATTTTTTTTATTTTATTATTTTTGTGTGTCTGTGTACTATCAAATCACATCTGACTGGTACAGGAGGAGATGGCCCCTCCTTCCCCGGCAGAGCATCTGGTGGATTCAAACTGTGCACCTCTGGGATTGTAGTTGCAGCTTCTTGCCACTAGGCCACCAGAGCTCCCCGGAACTTCCCATTATTATCGTCATTGATGACTGATCAGCTTCCAATTGACAGACGAGGACTTGAAGTCTGAGGAGACGCACAAGGACTCAAGACAAGGGGGGGGCGCTCTTTTCTTTTTTTAAGATTTTATCATTAGAAAAAAAAAGTCAACAACATCAGAGAAAGGAGGTAGGGGGAGAGAGAAGGGGGTGGGTGGGAGGATGAAGTGAACCTCCCCAAAAGTGGGGTCCTGGCTCTCCTTCCCTGACAGTTCAGCCCACCTCCAACCCCTTCTCTGTCCTGGGGGTGGGCTTTCCAGCTACATCTTCCAAAGACTCAGGGCCAGGATCTCAGCTTTGCTGGCAGAAGTCGGCAGAAGCGGGGCTCACAGCCTTGGGACCCCAATCTTTGTCCTTGAGATAATATCTTCAGTGAGTTCTCAGACCCTTGTGTGTCCCGGCGGGGGCTCCAGGGAGGTAGGTGTTGAGTTGGGGGGGCCTTTGGAGGTGGGGTCCTGGAGCCAGTGGGCCAGGTGGAAACAGGGGGCCAGGTGTGAGCCTGGGAGTCACAGTCTGGAGGCTGGGGTCTGTGGAGAGGGGGAAGGAGAGACATCGTCAGAAAGGGGAGGAGGCCCACCTACAGTGGTCCCCACCAGCCACAAAGCGAGACCTGAGGGGAGAGACATGGAGAGAGGATGGATGGGAGGGCAAAGAGGGAGAGAGCAGGGGGAAGGATGTGGGACAAGCAGAGGGTCTGAGAGACAGAGCCACAAAGGGAGAGAAGGACAAAGAGGAGAAGAGGGGACAGAGAGAGAGATACAGCGGAGTGACTTGAGAATCTGATAACCACAAAGAGAGGTGACAGGATGAACAGAGAGGCTGAGACCCTGCGAGGCAGGGTGATAAACCAGGAGATCAAGGGAGAAACAGAGAAACACAGAGGGAGCGAGAAAGACAGGTGAGATAAGAGAGCTACAGAAAGGGAGAGGTTAGAAAGAGCTACTGAGAGAAAAAGTGAGAAATAGACTCAGGGAGATGGAGAGAGAGAGAGCCAGAGAGAGGGAGGGGGACAAAAGAAAACCGAGAGAAAGAGAGACGTACAGACAGAGAATCGGGGTAGAAATGGAAGAATGAACGAGTGACAGGAGGAGGCAAGGAGCTACAGAGACAAAGGGTAAAGGACCAGAGAGGGCCAGGTGAGAGAAAGGAAGAGGGGAGATCCAGGGAGAGAAAAGGACTGGAGCTGGTTAGGCTCTGGGGAAAGGATCTCTGGGGGCTTAGCAGGTTAGGTGTTGGGCTGCTAACCTAAAGTTTGGCAGTTCAAATCTACCAGCCACTCTGTGGGAGAAAGCTTTGGTAGAGCTGCTCCTGTTACGATTTACAGCCTCAGAAACCCAGAAGAGGGCAACCACGAGTGAGAGTCACCTCAGAAGCGCTGACTTAGGCACGGTGGCTTAAAGGGCTTCTGTCTGGGGAGACCATGAAGATGCTTTGGAGGTGGATGATGGTGATGGTGACACAACAGGATGAATGTAATTTTCACCACTCGAAAATGGTTACATTCAAACTCATGGTTGTTGAATCAAAATTGACTCCTAGCTGACACACTCCCTGTGACTCTTGGGAGGCTGTAAATTGCACGGGAGGAGATTGCCCATCTTCAAGCTGCTGGTGGATTTGAACCCCTGGGAGTTAGCAGCACTTCCTGCCCACTAGGCCACCAGGTCACCCTTAAAAATGATGACAATGAAAAAAAAAATAAAATGGAAAAAAAACGGTGACAATGACAATTTTTTTATACATTATTATAGTAAAAATATACATATTTAGACAATCTCCGTCTCAGCCACTTCTGCATGTGATGTAGCTGACATTTTCACCTCCTCATTCCACAGCATCCCATTGCATCAACTCACTCTCACTGCCCTAGATCCTGGTCTTACGTTACGCACACTTTGTTGTTCTTTGTTGGGCACCACTGAACGGACTCTGAAGCAAAGAAGCCCTTTATGGCAGAGGAGGAAACGGTCCCCGCAGGGTTTTCAAGGCTGCGATGTTCATGGGAGCAGAGGTGACACAGAGGCGTGGTGGGGTTTGCACTGCCAACCTTTTGACCAGCCCCTGGGTGCATAACCACTGTGTTATCAAATTCACTTTTATCAAGTCATTTTATGACTGATAACAGCCACATAGAATAGAGCAGAACTGTCCCTTAGGGTATCTGAGGCTGTAACTCTCTATTGGAACCAACAGCCACGTCTCTCTTCCATGGAGCTGTAGTTGTTGTTGTTATGTGTCCTCGAGTCACTTGCGAATCATAGCCCTAAACCCTGCTCTATCTCTTGCCAATCTTACTATCTCTGACACACCTACCCCCATTACCCCAGTGATAGAATCGATCCACCTCATCGAGGATCTTCCTCTCCTGCGCTGTCCCTCCACTCTCCCAAGCATAACGTCCTTCTCCAAGGACTGGTCTCTCCTTGCAACATGTCCAAACTATGTCAGATGAAGCTTCAGAATCCTTGCCTCCAAGGAGCAGCCTGGCTTCACCTTTTCCAGGATGAACCTGTTTGTTCTTCTAGCAGTCCACAGTATATTCAATGCTCTTCTCCAGCACCACAGCTCATGGAGCTGTTAGTGGGTTTGAACTGCTGACCTTTGGGTTAGCCACTCAATTCTTAAACCACTGCACCACCAGAGAGCCTGCTGTGCCACCATGAAGTCTCTATTTTACTTTATTGTTTTTTGTGTGTGTACCATCAAATCGGATCTGACTGGTACAGGAGGAGATTGTCCCTCCTTCTCCAGCAAAGCATCTGGTGGATTTGAACTGTGCACCTCTGGGATTGCAGTGCAGCTTCTTGCCACTAGGCCACCAGAGCTCCCTTGCCACCATGGAGTCTTACATGTACTTTACCACAATAAAATCTAACAAGCACAAGAGAGAAAATCAGGTATGAGAATGTAGAAGAGGAAAGAATGAGGCACACAGAGAAATTAAAAGAGAGACAGAGGAGGAGGGAGAGGTAAAGAGATAGAGAGGAAGGGAGAGAAGAGACGGGAAAGGGGAAAGACAGACATGGTTGAGGACGGGCAGGTACTGGGGACCTGGGTGTAGGCTGAGAAGCCCCCACCACCTTGTAGCTCCCACCCTGTAGTTATCAGATATTCAGGCCATGTCATGCCAGTCATAGGGACTGGCCACAAGAGAGCTGAGACCCTCACTCACCCACCAGGCCCCCCTCTCCCCTGGCAGGACTCCCAGCAGCTCCTCTATTGCTACCAATTGGCCCAGGTCTCTTATCATGCCTTTCATTCACCCACCACACCCAGCCTGCCTTGGCCCAGCCAGGTGGAGAATGGATGGATCAATGGATGTGTCATAGGTAGGTGAGATGATGGATTAGTAGATATTGGGTAATAGATGTGTGCTTGAGTGGATGTAGATGAGTGTGAGGTTGACTGTTATTGTTATCACATGCCATCAAGTCACCTGTGACTCATAGCAACCCTATGGACAACAGCTCTGAACCCTGCTCTATCCTGAGCCAACCTCACTGTCTCTGACACACCTAGCACCATTACCCCAGTCACTGAGTCAATCTACCTCATAGAGGGTCTTCCTCTCCTGTGCTGTCCCTTCACCCTCCCAAGCATAATGTCCCTCTCCAAGGACTTGTCCCTCCTTGCAACATGTCCAAATTATGTCAGACATAGCTTCAGAATCCTTGCCTCCAAGGAGCAACCTGGTTTCACTCTCTCCAGCATGAACCTGTTTGTTCTCTTAGCAGCTCATGGAATATTCAATACTCTTCTCCAGCACCACAGCTCAAAGTCATCAATTGTCCTTCTATCATGCCTAGTCATTGTCCAGCTCTCTGATGCATACTTGTGAAGAGCATGGCCGGGATCAGGTGCACCTTAGTCTCCAGACTGACATCATTGCTCTTCAGTACTCTGAGGAGGGCCCTGACAGCAGACTTTTCCAATGCAAATTGTCTTTTGATTTCCTGGAGGCTGGTACAAAAGTATTGATTGTGGAGCCATGCAAACTAAAGCCGTTAGCAATCTCAATCTCTTCACCATCTATCATGATGTTGCTAATTGGCCCAGGGGTGAGAATCTTTGTTGGGTTTTTGGTTTTGTTTTTGTCTTATGTTAAGCTTCATCCATATTGAGGTTTCACTCCTTGACCTTCTGCAAAAAGTGATTCAAGTCCTCTTCAGTTTCAGCAAGCAGGGTTGTGTCATCTGCATGGTTGACTAATGGAGGGATATATCTAGATGGGTAAGTGGAAGGATGGTGGATAGATGGGTGGAAGGATGGATGGTAGGTGGATAGATTGAAGAGGGGAATGAACGGGTGAGGTGGAGGGATAGGGGTGTGGGGTGGGGTGGGGAAGGGTGAATGGATGGATGGATGAATAGATTAGTGGGGAGGTTGGGGGGGTGGGGATGGATGGGAGTGGGGAGTGGAGGGAAGCAGGATAGACAGGTGTATGGATAGATCATAGATGAGTAGGTGGGTGGGTGGGTAGTTGAATGGATAACCTTCCACCAAGTCTCGGTGCATCCTGCCCTGTCTTCCCCAAGATGAGCTCACTAGTGGAGTGTAGAGACCTCAGGGAGGCTTGAGAATTCCATAACCCCTAACTCTGTGCACCCAGACCTTGGACACTCACGCATATCCTGAATCCAGCATCTATAGATAATGCCACTCTCCTTCTAAGTTCAAACTCATCCCCATTGATCCTGGAAAACAAGATTATTTTCATCCATTAAAAAAGGGTCTTCACCAGATACACCCCACGTGCCCCTAAATCCCTTTTTCCCCTTCCTCCACTAGGTGGCCCTCTGTCATGGCGCCTGAAGCATCTTTTACAGGGGTGGTTGCTGCCTGGTGTCACGGCACCTCCAGGCACAATGGAATGAAACATGGCCCGCTCTTATGCGATGTCTGGGCTCAGCTGTGGTTCAAGCTGCTGTGAACCAGAGTGGTCACTGTATTAGTTCATCTTGACCTGGAAGCTCTGCTGAACCATACTCAGCATCATAGCAACCCTGAGAGTTGAACAGGAGCTTTGCATGTGAAGCACTGGTCAGGAATTGAACTCGGATCTCCTGCACAGGTGAGAATTCACAACGAGAACATGCCAGTGTTTTGAGACTGGGTGTGGAGAGAGTTGGAATAAAAATAAGATGGAAGGGGAGCTCTGGTGGCCTAGTGGCAAGGAGCTGCAACTACAATCCCAGAGGCACACAGGTCGAATCCACCAGATGCTCTGCCGGGGAAGGAGGGACAATCTCCTCCTGTACCAGTCAGATCTGATTTGACGGTACACGCACACAAAAATTAAAAAAAAAAAAAGATGGAAAAAAAAAGGTGAGAATTCTACCACTGAACCACCAATACAGTGGAGCCTGCAGATGTGAACTGTACATGGAAATGTGATGCTCAGGCATTTGTACCTTCCTCCTCCTCCCCTGTTATGCAAATAAAGGTGCTGCATTATTCATTAACTCCATTTCAGAGGCTGGGCATCTGGGAAGGGGGCGCGGCCTATCACGGGGCGTGGCTTATCCTAGAGGGCTGGGCCTTACCTGGTTGCCGGCTGGTCATGTGTGGCTGAGTCTCTGTGTAGCCCCCCATGGACTGGCCTTCGGGGCTGAAGGCTGCACCTTGCCCTGTGGAAAGGTTTGAGGGGTGCACACTGAGCCCCAAGATGCCTGGGTCTTGATTGGGACACTCCCGGGGAGTCCCAGGTCGTCCCGCCCCACCTTTACCCTTTACCTGTACGGTTGGATTGGTCAATCATTGGTTGTACAATTCGTCTCCGGGCGTTAATGAACCTGGGTGGACGTCAGGGAAATGGAGGGGTGTAAAAAGAGTGGGAGAGGGCCAGATGAAGGCGCAGACAGGATGAAGGGCAGAGAAGACCAAGGAGGGGCAGAGCGAGGCTCTGAGGGGCGGCGCGGCGCCTTCAGCACCACGGACAGCGCCCGGCGCCTCCCCATAGCCACCTTCCTCACAGCTTGCTCACCAGTTGTTGACTTGCAGGATGGTGAGCCCCGTGTCTTGTGCCAGCTGTTTCTTCTGCTCTTCTGAGGGGTACGGGTGCTGCGACCACCAGCGAGAGTCACTTGCCTGCCTGCTCCCCGCCTGGTCCCCCAAAATCCACCAGCTTCCCCCCTCCTCCCCAGTCTGTGGCAGGCCTGGGAGTGAGCGCAGCGCAGACGTTCTGCCCGCTCCAGGCAATTACTCCCCAGGCGTCCCGCCTCTTCCAGCAATTAGAGGCTAATTGGCCGCCCCACTTAGGGAGCTGTCAGGCGAGAGGCGTGGCTGGACAGTCCCCTCCATCAGGATCTCTGTGTGTGCCCCCCTCCCTCTTCCTGTTTCTCTGATTCAGTCTGCGTCTTCCTCCCGCCATCCCTCCTTTTCCTACCTCTCTCCATCTCCCTTTCTCTGTCTCCTTCGAGGGCCCTGTCTCTGTTTCACCCTCCCCCTGCCTCTCCCTGTCTTTCTCTACCTGGTTCAGTCTCTTGCACTATCTCTCAGCCCCTCTGGAACTCACTCTTTGCCTCTGTTGCCCTATGTCCCTCTCCAAGTCTGTTTGACCTTCACCTTGTAGCTCTCTGAGACTCACTATCTCTCTGTGACCCAGTGCCTCCCAGCCTGAGTTACTGTATTTCTCAGTCCCTCAGTGACTGTCTGTCCCCCTCTGGCTGGCTTTGACTTGCCCATACCTCTCCCTATCTCTGTTTCAGCCTTTCTAGGTCTCTCTCTGTCTCGCTTGTCCAGTCTCTCTGAGGTAGTGTGGTGTAGTGGCTGAGGAAACATTATTGTGTATTTGAACTCATTTCTGGCTGTGTGATCTTGGGCAAATCCCTTGCCCTCTCTGTGCCCCTGTCTCTAAGTACAAAGGAGACAGTCACAGATTCCACCGCCCCTATTTTGAATAGGTGATGGGTGGGGAAATGATTGATGGATAGAGGAATGGATGGGTGGGTGGGTGGCTGGGTGGGTGGATGGATGGATGGATGGATGGACTATAGAAGGAAATGAATGAATTAAACACCCTAATTAGCTGAGGGTAACTTTAGATGCTACAATTGCTCTGTATGCACTCAGAGCAGCATGGGAATATAGACAGCCAGAAATTGGAAGAGAAACTGGAATACAAGACTAATTGCCTTTACAAGAAAATTTAGATCAAAAGGGGGAGAATGCAGAAAAGAATTTAAAATTCTCATGGAATTCCAATATTCTGGACTCAGTTAAGTTGGATGAGCTCTTGATATTACTACTCTGAGATATTTTTAAAAATACTTTAAACCTTAAATCAAAACAAACATTCCTAAAGTCTTCTTTGAACCAAAGGAGTAGCAAAGCACATCTGCTTCAAAACATTGTACTTTTTAAAAGAAATAACCATGTAAGACACATTTATAGGAGCAACTTGAAAGGTTGGATGAGAAGCTCAGAGGAGAGTGAGGTAGTGTGATGGTGAAATAATTGAGAACAGGATGTAAGAAACGTAGCTGACTGGAAACATGTAACCACTGTCAGTGAATTGTGCGTGGAGAAACTGTTGAACTGGTGTATTGTATTTTTTCTGTCTCTGTCTTCATGAAGATAGAAGAATAGGTGTCTTTGAGTTGTGGTGCTGGAAAAGAGTAAACATACCATGGACCACCAAGAAAACTGACAGATCTGTCCTGGGGAGGATGAAATCAGGTTTCTCCTCAGAGGACTTTGAAGCTCTATCTCACGTACTTTGGGCACATAACCAGTCCTTGGAGAAGGACATCATGCTCAGAAGGATGGAGGGACAATGCAGGAGAGGAAGACCTTGGATGAAATGGATTGACACAGTAACAGGGGTAATGGGGCTGGCAGTGTGTTTTGGAGTCAGTGAGACTGGCTCAGGATAAGGTGAGGTTCAGAGCTATTGTATATAGGGTCACTATGAGTTGCAGACAACTCGATGGCACATAACAACAACAACATGCTCATTTAAAAACCAGTAATAGCACACCCATGTTTATTGCAGCTTTGTTCACAATAGCAAGGAGTTAGAAACAACCCAGGTGCCCATCAACAAACGAATGGATAGAGAAACTGTGGTATATTCACACAATGGAATACTATGCTGCTTGAAAAACAAGGAACTCATGCAATATTATTCAAATTGGGTGACCCTGGAGGACATTATGCTGGGTGAAATATCTCAGTCACAAAAGGACAAATACTGCATGGTGCCACTGTTGTAGAATGGGACTGATATCAGGGTTGGGTAAGACAGAAAAACTGGATAAATTGTGTATACTGCATTGAAACAGATGAGGGAGAGAATAATTTAAAAGTGATATATGATAGGGTTTTATAGTTATCAAAGGAGTCCAAAATTAAGGGTGCATAGTGGAGTATACCTGGGGCAGTGGGAGGGGTGAGGGGGGATTGTATACCAAAGAAGGAATTTCTCAGAGGCACACGGTTCAAATCCACCAGATGCTCTGCTGAAGAAGGAGGGACAATCTCCTCCTGTACCAGTCAGATCAGATTTGATGGTACACACACAAAATATAATAAAAATTTAAAAAAAAGAAGAAGGAATTTTTCTTTTACTTTTCAAAGACAGGAGCTAACTGGGGCGGGGACGGGGGTGAGGGCTGGGCAGGAAGAAAAGTGCAACAATGAATGAATGGAAATCCAAAATCTCTATAAATGTTCATTAAAATTATTTTTAAAAATGAAAGAAAAACCAGTAATAATGAAGACACTCTAAATTGTTCCTGGTACACAGGAAGCCCTCACATCAGCCTGCATGCACTTCCTTGAGATTTTCTCCATTAAGCGTATCCTTGTCTATGTGTGTGTGTGTCTGTGTATGTGTATGTGTGTCTGTGTCTCACTTAAGTCTCCTGCCTCTGGGTATCTGTCAAGTTTCATCCTCCCTGTGGTCCGTCTCTCTGTTCCCATCCTGCATCCCTGAATCACACGTCTCTCACCGACAGATGCTGGAACAACCAGGCCCGCATGATGTTGGTGGCCACCTTGGGGAAGATGCCTCTCTTCTTGCTCCTACGTCGTTCCTGGTCCAACTCTTCATCCTCCCCTCCAGAGCTGGGGGAGGCTACGCTTGTATCCAGCCCGTCTCCTGAGGAAGAAAAGCATCACACTGTGTCTGTGGACAGTGAAGGCCACGTGCACTAAGTAGCCAAGAACCCTGCTCCAAGACCGCAACTCCACATCCCAGCCTCCCTTCCCCCTCTGTCTTAATTCCAGTCTGACTTTGATCCTCCGACTCCCTCGTCCCTCCCTGTCTCTCAAGCTTCTCACCTTGGTCGCTGGAGTTATCTCCACTCTGGGAGGCTAGGCCCCCACTGGATGGACCTGGGGTCCCCAAATGCACAGACCCACTGTCCTCAGGGTCTCGAATCCATGTATTGTTCTGAAAAAAGCAAGGTCTGGAAGTTAGTGAACAGTGGTTAAAACCATGGGCTCTGGAGCTGGGACACTTGGGTGTAAAGTCCCTCCTTGTTGCTTCCTGGCTGTGTGACCTTGGCCGAGTCACTTCACCTCTCTGTGTCTCCACTTCCTCAACTGGGACACCAGCCCCTCCTGACAAGATAGTCAGGATTAAATGAGTTTATTTCTGTAGAACCAAATCCGAACCATTTGCCTTTGCATCGATTCTGACTCACGGTGGTCCCACCTGTATCAGAGTAGAACCATACGCCATGAAGTGTTCAGAAGTTGACCTGAAGAACAGACCAATACGTCCTTATTCTGAGGCACCAGTGAGTGGACTCTGTCAACAAGTTGGTTAGTCGCAGAGCACTTAACTGGGCCCTTCAAGAAGTCTAGCTTTTAGACAGGTTCGTGTTGTTGTTGTTGTTGTTGTTGTTTTGTACCTTCGAGTTGTAACCAATCCATAGCTGACTCTCCAGCAGGTTTTCAGAGGCAGTTAATTGCACGGCAGGAGATTACCCACCCTTACCCTGCAGGGCAACTGGTGGATTTGAACCGGGTGCCTTCAGGATTGCAATGCAGCTTCTTACCACTAGGCCACCAGAGCTCCCAAGAGCAAACCCAAACCCACTACTAACAAGGTGCTTCTGATTTATGGCACACTTCCATTGGATTTCTAAAGCTGTCCATCTGTAAGGGAGGACACTGTTCACCTTTCTCCTGATGAGAGAATGGTGGATTTGAACTGCTGACCTTTTGGTTAGCAGCACAGCATGCCTTACACTGTGTCACCAGGGCACCTTAAAGCTACTTGTTGCTTTATAAAGAAAGCTTTTCACAGCCCCATGATAGCTCGCTGGACAGCTGGCATCTAGATGTGTTTCAGCATTTTCCACATTTTTAGACAGTTAATTGGTGCATATATTGTGTATTTCAAAACACTCCCCAGCAGGGTTTGGGGCTGTCACCTCACCGGCCAACTCATTAACATTTCTGCAGCCAAATGAATGAATATTTAACTAAGTGGAATAAATAAAGGCTATTAATAGCCTTGCATTAGTTCAGGTCATGTTTTGCTGCCAAGTAAATTTGCTCTAAATTTATGGGAGGGAAAGTAATTTCATTTTTAGAAGCTGCAGTTTCTCCAAAGTGCAGATAAGAGACCATGGACCTGTTTTTCCTTTATTCAGACCTCAACACAAATTATGGGAGCCTGACAACGTTGAGTGGCCCCTCTGCCCTTAAGAGGTTCTGTGTCCTAGGAGTTTGACCTCCCCGATGGAAAAAAAAATGTAAAAAACAAAACAAAACAAACCCAGTAAACCTGTTCCTATCAAGTCACTGTCAAAACACAGTAACTCCATGGGTCACAGGGTAGAACTACTCCATGGAGTTCTCGCGGTGGAAATCCTTACAGAAGCAGATTGCCAGGCCTTTCTTCTGTGGGATCACTGGATGAGTTTGAAACAGCCTCGAGGTTAATGAAAACTCAACATCGACTCACTGACGTGGAGCTGCAACAGGCTCAGGGCTGAACCTCCAGCAGGTTTTCTGAGTCTGTGAGTCACATGGAAGGAGATTGCTCATCTTCCTCCTTCGTGGATTTGAACCTCCTGACTTTTGGTTGGCAGTGCAACTCCTTACCCACTAGGCCACCAGGGTTCCATTAGACTAATGGCTGAGTGCTGACCACCTGCGTCACCCAAAGGACCTAGGACCCATCTATATGATAGCATCAAGACTTCCTGGTCAATTGAGAGGAACCAACAGAATGAGGTGAGGGCAAAATTGAAATATTTGTCCCTGAGGTCCCCCTAAGTTGACTATGGGAAGGTCTCAGCTCTTTTTTATTGTTATTAATTATTTTTTATGTGTGTACTGTCAAATCAGATCTGACTGGTACAGGAGGCGATTATTCCTCCTTCTTCAGCAGGTCATCTGGTGGATTTGAACCATGCCCCTCTGGGATTGCAGTGCAGCTTCTTGCCACTAGGCCACCAGAGCTCGCAAAGGGATCAGCTCTTAACAAGCAGGTTTCTCCTCTCACCAACCCTGTTTGATCTTGGTAACCAATGAAGGCTGAGTCTACACTCTGGCTACCTCTGAGCCGGAAGCTCTGTAGCCACCTGTAAGCTGTATCCAATCTCTGGAGCTGTAACTAAGTCTGGACAGCTGTGTCTGTGCCTCTGTAATGGCATCTTAGTGCTTAGAGCTGATCTATACAGCTGTGTCTGCAGGGCTATATCCAATCTGTGGGACTTTCTGTAACCAGGCTAATGCATCTGTAACTGCAGTGATAGGACTGTATCTTTGTCTTCCTGGCTGCATATTCATCTGCGTGTCTATATTTCCATCTACACGTCGGCCCTGTGGCTGGAGGCTGCGTCAAGCTGACCGACTAGAAATAACCCTGTGCCTCTATTTTGAAATGTGTCTATGGCTGTAAAGTGGTCTGTGATGGGAGGTGTGCGTGGGATATCATCCTGTTGAGTCGGAGTCTATGTGACTATGCATTGATTGTGTATTAGCGTCTTCTGTGTGCAAACGCACATGCTCTGTAGTTGATCTGGGTTAAAGGGAATTGTTACCCTGTTTGTTTGGCTGCATCAAAGACCAGGTGTCTGTCTCTTCATTTGTATAGATGTTAGGCATTTGCAGTGCAAATTCTGTGTCCATGGAAAGCATGCACGCACGCTGCTGTGTGTGTCAGAGTCTGGCTTTATG